CCAAAGCTTGACCGAGTCTCTGGAAAATGGTAGGGGAAAGATGCTCATGCATAACTGGTGGCGGTGGGAAATGACAACCCTACAAGGGGTGCTGAACAGTCACAGTCACATGTGCGTTTACCCTTCACCCGGCATCTCCCCCTGTGGGAATTTAGGAGCACGCACATACTCGAAGTCAGTGCAGCCTTACAGGTAAAATAATGGGAACCACTTAATACACCCGGGCATGGGAGACGGGCTCAACAAACTGATGATGGACTTCAAAACAAATGAGGAAGATCTCTGTAACATGAAGTTATTACTAGAATGTGGTTTTAGTCAGCTTTTTTGCTGCTGGGACTAAAGGATCTGACCAGAACAATTTTAGGGGAGGAAAAGTTTTTTGAGGTCTCAGTGTCAGAGGTCTTAGTTCATAGGCAGCTGGCTTCATTCCTTGGGGCTCGAGATGAGATTGAACATCATGGTGGAAGAATATGGCAGAGGGAACCAGCTTACATAGTGATTAGGAAGCAGAGACAGAGGTCTCCACTTGACAGATACAAATATATACCCCGTAGCCATGCCCCCAGTGAAGACTTCCTCCAGCTACACCCCACCTGCCTCCAGCTACCACCCAGGTAATCCTATCAGGGATTAATTCACTGATGAGGTTAAGGCTATAACCACATTATTTCTCTCTGAACCTTCTTGCATTGTCTCACATGTGAACTTTTGGGAGACACCACATCTAAACCATAACAGGTGTAGAAAAAGCAAAAGTGCAGAAGATAACAACAGTAGGCCACCTTTCTTTGTTAGTAGTAAAGAGGAAATTTAAAAAAAATCAGACATTTATCTGCTTTCCCCCACCCCCAAGAAGAAACACAGGAAGAATAAACCTGAAAATAAAAATGAGGAGGTTAGAATAGGGGACTGAGTAAAAGACACAGGAGAGGGACTATAGTATTTGACTTTCAGAATCATGTTAACATTCTTTTATTTAAAAAATGAAGTTAAATCAAGATTGCAAAACAAAATTCTTAAAACAGCAACAAACGTCATATTCAAATAAATAAACTCACCAAAAGAAGAGAAAGAAAATTTCAAGTTAACAAAATAACACTGGGTGTGGGGGGAATACATTGTAAATGAATTGGAGCAAAGTCTTAAGTATTTTGTATGCATAAAAAAAAAAAAAACTTTCCATAAAAAGAAAATAAGCCTCAAGTTTATCTTAGGTTTAGTTTATAAATTATTATAAATATAATGATTCTGAAAAATTGTTCTGAAAAATTTTAAGTATCTTTTAGAATTGAGGATGTTCTTCATAAATGTATTAATATTGGTGTTGCTGAGGCTTGTTACTGAAATATGGCTACATTGATATGAACTAAAGGAGGAAATCAAATCAAAACCCTGTGTAGTTGGATTGGACTTGGAGCTAACAGTAAAAACTTGGGATTTGTAAGACACAGATGCCCACACACCCCTAGAATCTGTATGACTCTGGTAGACTTAGAGAACACAGAGCCCAGATTTTGGTTTCTAAATCCCATTCCTAACTGAAAGGGACTGGGAATTCTAGAGCTGGAGAGAGGGGTGAAAGATAAGTCTGGAACATCTTATTCCAGAAATTAAATCTCAAAAAATTCTGGCATGTTAAGAAGACATAGGAACCAGCTTGCATGGGCTCCTGATGGCCAATTCCAAGACCATATGAATGACAAAATAGGTAGTCCATTGACTAAGAATCCTTGACTCCATGTGGATGATTGATTGTCATAGATGGGCAGGTAAATGGGGAAGAAGGGAAAGTGCTTATGTTAGAATTTTGACGAGGAATAATGGAGTTAAATAACACCATTTTGTAATCATTATAGCAAAAATTGATTCAAGCAAAAATGGATGCTTCACATAGAGGTAAAGTTTCATGAGAAATGGTATTTACATAGTCTTAAGGTATTTTTCACTGATTTTCTTATTAATTACAAAAGGAAGAATTATAACTGTAGACAGTGGATGAATTAGACAACACATCAATCATAAGCAGACACAGTGGCTTTTGGATGTTTACCCTCAGAAGGGAGGAGTATCACCTAGGCAGTATTTCAGTCAGAAATCTCTGAGTTTAATTATCAAAAAATAGAGGAGAGGGCTGGGGCTGTAGCTCAGTGATAGAGCACTTGTCTAGCACATGTGTAGCACTGGTTTTCGATCCTCAGCACCACATATAAATAAAATAAAGGTCCATTAACAACTAAGAAAATATTTTTTTTTTAAAAAAAGAAATGGAAAAAAAAAAAAAAGAAATAGAGGAGAAACCCAAATTGAGAGAGAGTCTATGAAACAACTCAAATGTTAGTAGCATGAAACTGAAAATAGCTATTTTGTTAACCTTATATGTGACAGTTAATATTCTTTTTAGAAATTGAGGGGATATATGCTACCTGCTTTCAGATAATTCAGAAAGAGTATATGTGCATGTGCCTGTGAAAGGATAAGGGAGGAGAATGTAATAATGAAGCACATGTGGCGTAATGTTAAAAACTGTTGAATCTGAGTAAAGGATATATAAGAGTTGTTTATACTATTCTTGTAATTTTTCTGTAGCTTTGAAATTATTTTTTAAAAAGTTAAATAAAGGAATCATAGTAGCTTCATTATAATTACTCCAAACTGGAAAAAATTTCTTTGGCATAAGATATAATTATATCATCAAATATATTGCAATATATCTGTGATAAAATGGAATACAACGTTAGATGGATCTCACAGGTGAAGAAGCCAGATGGAGCAGTGTATGTTTTGTTTATGCGAAGATCTGTGCATCTCATTGTAGATCTCTAGTAATTCATTACTTAGAGTTTATTAAAAGGTCCTGTACCAGCAATGACAAAATCATCTTAATAATCGGAGGTGAGGACCTGCGGGTGGAGTTCAGCAGCAGAGCACGTGTTTATCATGTGCAATGCCCTGGGTCCAGTCCCTAGCACCACACCAAAATAAAACAGAGGTGAGGGAAATAGTTATTTTTCTTGTCAAGTTCTTCTGCAGCATGCTGCCTTGCTGTCCTTGGTGGTTCACTTCCCAGGTCATCTACAAAAGCTGTTGGAGCTCATCTGTGGCTGAGGACAGCTCCGTGCCTGAGCAGGTAGCCACACAACAGGGTTACTGTGGGAACACATGCTGGGGGTACAGAAACACGTTGTCCTTTGCTATGGCAAAGGTTAATTCTTCCCCCCTGGCTGCCCTGCCTGCAGGCAGTAGGAACAGGAAGTCCTCAGTCTAAGACTCCTGAGCAGAATAAGAGCTGCTAAAATAGGCAGGCAGGGGATGATCTCTGAAAGGTAGAGGAGATGGAGAATTGATTCAGATTGCAGCCTGGTTCTGCATTTGTGGGAAGTGGTTTAGGAGTTAGGGTGAGTTAGAGTGCAAATCATAACAAACTGTAGCTAGAAGATAATTTAAAGGTATTGGACTGTTTGACAGATTGTATTTATTTTGTAAGGTTTCTATTGGCATAGCGGAAGCATTTATTACGAATTTGTTTGATAAAGCAAAGTAGTTTGTACTTCAGATGATATTGAAAGGTAGAAGGAGAAAAGAATCAGGTTTTTAATGGCTTGGTTTGGGCAGATTCCATCACAGAGCTATTAAAATTTTTTTTAAAAAATTATAATATGCTCAAAAGCTTAGTTCCTAAAGGACAAATAATAGAGAAATCAACAAATCTGCTACAGGATTATATAGGATTTTAAGATACAGCATGAGAAATTTTAATACTTATAAAACCTATTTTTACTTAAAAAATATTTTTTTCAGCCCATAAATATGTGATGATCCAAGTATTAAGAGCTTATTTTCCCCGAAAATAAAACAAATCATGGACAGATTGCCTGGAAAGCCTCAAAAGTCAACTTAATTCCTAATGCCACCAACTATTATTTCTTTAATACATTGAGTTTTAACTACCAACAATAATAGATTTGAAATCTTGTCTCTTGGCTCGTGCAGTTTGAAAATGGGGTTTTATCCTCTCCATTGAGGCTACAAGAGCAGGAGGACTTCCAGAGGCCTTTGTCATTAGGAGGAGCCGGTGACCAAGTGGGAAACTTAGGGTGGAGCCTACTCAAGGCTCTGTAACTGACCATTCCCCTGCCCTTATATCGATAGCGGCTTTGCCTGGAGGTTTCTAGAGGTTGATGAACATGCCGATTTTCAACTCCTCGGGTTCCTAGTATTATATAGAGCTTTTAGGAGGCTTTTAGGAGTGACAGGAGTTGTTTTGCTTCTCCCAAGTGCCTGCCTTTTGGCCTTCATACCTTGAGTTTTCAGTTAGCAGAATGTACAGTTCATCCTGTGTCCTCCTTGGCCTACCAAGTGGTGCCAAGGAATGCTGGGAAAAGTCACTGAGCTCCTTAGGAAAAGGTGTTCATGGAGTGCTGCTGCTGGGATGGGACATAGCATGAACCTGCCCGACAGAGCATCGCTCCCTGTGTGATCGACATCTTCACCAGCCTTGGGATGTTCTCTTGCCCACTGTATCTACCTTCTTGACTTCATTTATCTCCTTTTCATTTTAAAGCAAGTCGTGTGTCAATTTAAAACATTCTTTGGGAATAATTCATATCATTCAATAAACACCTTATCAGCTGGGCTGTGAAGTGGACTTGTCAATGGTGACATATTCCTAATTGTGTTTGATTTTTAGTGGGTGGAAAAATTAACAATGAGAAACTTAACAATTTTTAACCTAAAAGAATGTATTTTGCAAACTTTCCTGGGGCATTTTGTCTGTGCTGCAGATCTCAGGCATATGTCATCTGGGGGTCTAAAGAGGCTATATTTGTTCCTGAGCATCAGTGGCTTTTCATTTGAATGGTGCTTTTGAGTTGGCAGCAGGGCCGGGTTCAGATCATTTGTTGTTACTTACAGATAATGTTACAGCTTTACAGTGAGGTGCTTATTGATCTTCACAATTCTCATTTTTATTTCTCTTTTTTTCCTCTCCTTGTTTCCAGTTCTTCCTCCAGTGCTGGTTCCGAGACACAGCGAATATAACCCTCAGCACAGCCTCCTAGCTCAGTTCCGGAACCTGGGACAGAATGAGCCTCACATGCCACTCAACGCCACTTTTCCAGATTCTTTCCAGCAGCCCAACAGCCACCCGTTCCCTCATTCTCCCAACAGCAGTTACCCGAACTCTCCCGGAAGCAGCAGCAGCACCTATCCTCACTCTCCCACCAGCTCAGACCCGGGCAGCCCTTTCCAGATGCCAGGTAGGATGGAGTGGTCCCAGGGAGACCTGGGAGACCTGGCGGGAGGGGGCTTCACCGCAGCATCCGGGCCCAATCTCTGGTGCTTTGCAGTGCCACTCACAGAGGAAGGAGGTTCCAGCCAAGGAAGCAAATGTCTTGCTTTATTTGTCAGGCACAAATGCTCAAATAAACTGTTTTTCCTTTGTTTTAAAAAAGTTTTGAAACAGCTGCATCCTTCTGGGAGTGGCATAATTATTACAGTCTTTGCTCTTGATAAAAAAAAAAAAGAGAGAGAAATAGTGCATTACACACATTGCTGTTATGAAAAACAGTCTCGATTAACATCATTTCAGATGTGGAAAAACCCCTGTTGCCAGTGCAACTTCAGAAAAGATATTTCCTAAGGGATCACACCCTCCCTCCCTATTTAATTAAATTCATTTAAGTGGTGATGTAATCCCAAGAAACGTATACTTTAGCAACAAAGGAATTGCAGCAGAAGTACTGGAAACCATCTGCTTGTTTAACTTAGCAGAGACAAAAAACAATTATTTTCCTCTTTTAGACATAACTGATGGTGTAATGGTTACCAAAATAAATGATTAATTAGGACATTGTATCTTTCAAATTATAAATTAATAAACAAGCATCTCACACACAAAAAAAATTAATACCAAATTTCTTGCCAGTTGACCTCAAGAAGAATCAAAGGTACACTTGAAATCCATTAACATTTTGGTAAAGGAAAATGGGCAAACATGTCAAATTGAACATCAGTCCTGAACCTTCAAAAATTGAAAAATGGGCCATTGTGGTGGGTACCCACCCATAATTCCAGCTACTTGGAAGGCTGAGACAAGGGAATCACAAGTTCAAAGCCAGCCTCTACAACTTAGCAATATAAAAAGGTTTGGGGATGTGACCCTGAGGTAAAGTGTCTCTACATTCAATCTCCAGTACTGAAAAAAAAAAAAAAAAAGGAAAGTGTTTCATACTTCATATTGCTTACATTGCTTCCATTTTTATGTATTTGTTGCTCCCCGCTTTTAAGCCTGTTTATTTTGCTTTGTGGTTTTTCAATCCAAAAGGTGGTGTGATAGTTTAAAGACCAAACTAATAACACTTGGTGATTGCCTGTCCACTCTGCTCCCTCAAAAACCTGTTGGGTTTGATGGACAGGTTAGTGGTAAGGAGATATATTTCAGAGCACTTTCAACAGTGGCACCCAGGGCGAGCCTGAAAGAAAACACTGAAGGTTATTGCCTGAATTTACACCTTGTCCTTGGCTGTCAGGGATTAAGGCACAGGCCAAGTAGAGGAAATGCAGGAAGAAGAAAGGAGGAGTAGTAGACCACCAGCTATAACGAACTGCTCCCTCCTAGCCATGCTGATGCTGCAGGTTGCCAGTGAAATTGTCACCAACTTGATAGCAGAAATTCAAAGGATTCAGGCTCAGAGGAGGCTGTCTTCAGTCCTGGCTTGAGGTAAAACAGAGTCAGCCATAAAGCTACAGGGAAGAAGCTAATTTTAAAAGAGAAGTTGAAAGGTGGGGAAAGGCATCCAGCTGCAACCCCTTAATCCTGTGTCCGGACTTTGAGTCACAGCTTTTCAGCAGCTGGATGGTGGAAGCATTGGGCTGATCAACTGGAGCATCAGTAGAATCCCCAAGAACCCCTGAAGGAGCAGTGCTGGTTATTTGTGTGGGAGAGTTGCCCTGAGTACTTCTCCAAGCATGCATGGTTCCCTAAGGTCAAAGTTTGTTCCCAAGGCTCTGTCACGGGTGCTAGGTGGTGGGCTCCCAAGAGCCAGTGAGGAATTTGGCTTAGGACCACAAAGAGTTGTTTGTGGGGAGCCATAATACCCTCTGTTTTACAGTAAGAAAACATCAGACTTCTGTTAGTCTTTGTTGCTCCAGAAACCATGTTGTCTGCCCTGGTTTGCCAGCTGGTGAGCCCTTCAGAAGAGTACATTCGTAGATTCTGAAACAGAAGATTTTAGAATTAAAACTGTGATAAACTGATTTATTTCCAACTATTTTATTATTAGGAATTTTAAAACTAGTGCTGATTTAAATAGAAGGGAGAAGGTAATCCTAACATATTGCTCAAAGTCATGGGAAATTATCAGTTTAAATCCATAGACTCTAATGAAACTTGGCTGGTAAATCCCTAAAAAGCCCATAGGTTTAATACAAAAGATTCTGAAACCTCTTTTTAAATAATTAGCTTTCAGATGTTTTCCATCTATAGTTAAGTGCGGTTCTGATTGTTTTTTTTAAATGGCCCGGTCCAAGCCAGCTAGTGAGTCTGCTTACCTGGATGTGTTTCTGCAGAAGTTTAGAAAAAGCTGGCAATAGTAATGCCATATTATAAGCCTTAAGGACACCGAAGTCATTAAGGTTTGGCTACAACAAATATTAGTGATGGGAAGCTTTTCCATAGACTTTTATTAAGACTTCTGTATAATTAGTGCTAAAAACTTGGGTGAAACTCCTAAGTGTTAACAAGAAATTGCATGTAATGTTTAATAAATAAATAAAATGGTGTGGTCCTGAACAGGCTGACAGCTCCTGGAACTGGCTCATAGTGGGTGCTCCTCCCATTTAATTGTCATTGAGAATGTGTAAGGTTTTGGGGGTAACATCAAGACCAGTGTCCGTAGTATCTAGTCTTTTGATGTGAAGGTTAGATGGCAACTTGGGGTCTTGTCTTAGCAGAGAAGAGAATATGTGTTTTAAGCATTTTTGAGAATATGTGTTTAAGAGTGTTTTAAGCATGTTAATTTTTTTGAAACTTTGTAGCTGATACTCCCCCACCTGCCTACTTGCCTCCGGAGGACCCCATGACCCAGGATGGCTCTCAACCAATGGACACAAATATGATGGCGCCTTCCCTGCCCTCAGAAATCAACAGAGGAGGTAAAATGAGTAGCTGGTTACTCTCCTTTTACAATCCAAAGTCAATATGTTGCTTTCTCTCACAAAGTTTATTAATCTTTAAAAAAGATAACTGCTAGAGAAAGGCAGAGCACAGGAAGAGAAGCTCGGTGGACAGAATTCTGTGGATAACACATATGTCTCTTATTTAAAGAGCAAACACTGACTTTTTGATTGAGGCCTGAGTGTGATTGTGCAGTTGTCTTTTTATCTCCAATACTGCATCATTTAGAGCTGGTGATGAAAGGAATGCTTTTAAGTGGACAGAGGGGAGTTGAGCCCCAGTGGGCACAGCACCAGCTCCACAGGTGATGTTCAGAATGGAAAGTTCTCATAATTGGCCTTCTGAAAGGTTTCTTTTGTGGTTAGAATCCATAGGCATAAACTCCATCTGTTTTCTAGACCTTATTTATGTCTCGCTGAAACCAAAACTAATAACATTTGCTTCTTTCTTGCTGAATTTATTTCTAACTTTATTACCCGAAAGACATTGAGGCACACCTTTTTCCTCTTCTCACCCTGAAGAACTCTAAGCAGAACTGAATGTTTTTTTCCTTCCTTAGTGAAGGGTGGGTCTTTAATTTCAGCTGTGAATTATTCATGGCAGTGACTGAGGGGATAGTGCCATCCTTCCTGCAGGTTGACAGTGGTGAGTAGGCTTAAGAGAGCAGAGCACAGGTAAATTAAGTATGATAGGACCCTGAGCATCTGTTAGAAGCCACAGCCACACTAGTGGAAAGAAAGAACCCTTCCCCAGGGGCCTCCCAGGAAGGGTTTCACTGGCACACCCACACACTCACATGCACAGATTGTTCAATCTGTGTAACATTTATGCAAATTGAAGTTAAAAATGCAACTTAATTGCTAGATATGTCTTATTGACACTTTTTAAATTAAAATAGATATCTCAGACTTCCTCAGAGTTGCAGGTATTTTTAAGTACTTAAAGTTTGATGATATCTGTATGATACTATGATGATAGCTATGTGTTGCTATGCATTTGTCCAAACCATCAGAATGAACAACACCAAGAGATAAGGGTGTAGCTAAGATAGAGCACTTGTCTAGATTATACAAGGCCCTGGGTTCCATCTCCAATACCACATACATCCCCATATAAATGTTAACTCTGGACGTTGAGTGATAATTATGTGTCATAGATTTATAGGTTATTACAAATATACCCCTCAATAGGGGTTATGGATAATATGGGAAGCTATGCCTAGGGTTGGGGACATATTGAAAATCTATTGGCCTTGTACTCAACTTTTCTGTGAACCTAAAACTGCTCTAAAAAGTAAGATTTATTTTTAAAAAGTCGAACTCAAAGAACCTTTCTTAGATGTGCAATGTAATAAATTGGGATGTACAACTTCTAAGCAGTTAAATTTTTAAAATCACTTTCTTTTTTTATTGATTCTGTGTTTTATGGTACCTGATCATCTCTAGGACATCCTATCAAACATATAACTATAAGTCAACAAATAAACACTCTGATTTGAAAAATATCCCTCTCGCACACATTTTTGGAATTTAGAGAACAGGATAGAAGGAGAGAATGGACAGAGTAGTACACACTGATAAGACCCTGTGGACCCTGTGCCCATTGTGGTTAAGTCTAACATGTTGATTTCAGGAAATAGACACAGATTTAAGAATGTTCCTGTTATATAACTTTAACATTTTTCCCCATTGGAATAAGTCTACAATCATTTAATATTTTCATAAGGAAGGGGATGTTGGGTCTTGTTCTTATTGTCCTTGTTGGTGACTTCCCAAGAGCAGGGGTCAGCAGACTAGAGCCCACATCCTATTGAGTCTGCTCCTGTTTTTGTAAACTAAGCTTTATTGGAGCATAGCCGTGCCAGTCATTACCTGTTATCTCTGACTGCCTTTGCTCCACAAGGGCAGAATGGGATAGTTCTAATAAAGATTGTATGGCTCACGAAATATTCTGGCATTTTTTAAAAATATTTTTTTAGTTGTAGATGGACACAATATCTGTATTTTATTTATTTATTTTTATGTGGTGCTAAGGATTGAACCCAGTGCCTCATGCATGTGAGGCAAGTGCTCTTTCACTGAGCTACAGCCCCAGCCATATCATGCCATTTTTTATAGAAAAAGAATTGCATCAGTGTCTGGTCTACTTGAATAGTATTTTGAACAATCCTGGAAGCTGATAAAAGACCTATATGAATGACATTGGAGCCGTCTTTAAGATTGGGCACTTGTAAATCACTAAAATTTTGCTCCATGAGCTTAAGCAAATTGACATGGCAGAGTTGCTTAGAAAACAAGGAAAATAGTATATATTTTCAGCTGAAATATGTAAGTATATAAAGCAACTAATGTGTGGGATTTTTTAGTGATCATTTTCTTTGTTTTCTTTACCAAAGTCAAAATAAAGTGCATTTTAATATGTGTAAAGGCTGATAGTAAGAACACAGAGGTTCTTCTCCCTTAACAGTTATAGCCCATGCCTCTGATGTGAATTTTCTTTCAATTTTTTATGATTGCACACCCAAGACTTCATAAACCTCAGATCATTATTTATTGGTATGCTGGAAATACTATGGTTTTGTATTCCTGGAATCTCTAAAGCAGTTGTACAAGAGGTTTTACTACAGAAGGAACTTATCTTTAAAACCTTTTAGTTACAAGTGTTTAGAAGTGTGTTCTGTTGGGAGACTTGTTAGTCTTAGGAGATTTGACTTAACAAGCTGCATCCTGTCAGTAAAGTTGGGTAATTTCCATTGTTGGCCCATTCTGGGAATGGAGAGACAAAACACACCTGCTCTGCATGACTTAAAGCAAATATAAGGAAGTTAGCATGAAATCTGGATGAGAGAGATATGATTCATTGTGTAAGAATGGCCAGCTGGCAGGATTTCTTCCTGAGTTGGAGAACTGGAGCAAAACTGGAGCTGTGATCATTATTGGCAACTTAATACGAAATAAAGTCACTTCTTATCAATAATTAAAAACTGATTTTCATTCCTTTAAAAAGCATAGGTAGAAAAGGCTTTGCCAAAAGCGAGCCCTTTGTATGCGGCACTCTTGGCATAACTCCGGGCCTCTGCTGTTCTTTCCCACTTGTTTTTTTCACTGGCCTCTTGTTTTACTTCTTTAGATGGGGAGCCAGGGTCTGTGGTAGGGTGATTTCCATTTCTGCATATTAAAGAGCAAGTAGCATTTTGTTAGTATTCAGCAGATGCTGTCTCTGGGCTTGCTCTCTGATAGTAATTGTAGGAAATTGTTTTCCTTTTAAAGGAGAATGTCACACTTCGTAAGAAGTACCTGCTTTAGACATCAGAGAAAACCTATAACCGCAGTTGCTCTTCCATGATCCTGAGCCAGTTTTTGGGATGCAGTTTCAGTTTTTGAGAGCCCAAGGCACAAACTTCAGTTGATGGAACCTTTTCTTTTTTACAGATGTTCAGGCAGTTGCTTATGAGGAACCAAAACACTGGTGCTCTATTGTCTACTATGAGCTCAACAATCGAGTGGGTGAAGCGTTCCATGCCTCCTCCACAAGTGTGTTGGTGGATGGTTTCACTGATCCTTCCAACAATAAGAACCGTTTCTGCCTTGGGCTGCTCTCCAATGTTAACCGGAATTCCACTATTGAAAACACCAGGCGGCATATTGGAAAAGGTGAGTCTTCACTTGAACCCTTCAGATGTTTATCTTTCCTATCGCTGTTCTCCCAGAGGAGACTTGGTCATTCATTCCTGTAGCAAACACAGGGTCATGTTCAGTTGCTGCAGTTTGAAGTATTTTTAAATTTTGTATTATCTAGAAGTTCTTCCATTTAAACACTATGTGGTCTCCTGACTGCCATTTTATTAATGTGAATTAGCCAGAATCATGATTTGCTATTTTAGGGCACTGCTCTATCTTTTTTTGCTGTAGAATAAAATATCTTTTTAATAGACTCAATTATTTAGTGGTGATACGAGTAAAATAGTTCTGTAACTTTTAGATATATGATAAGATTAAGAGAATGAGTGTGTGGCTATTTGGGGAGCTTGGTTTTCACTGTGGAGTAAGGGACACACAAACATGAAGGAGGGCAAGAGATTAATTATGAGGTAGATGGAGGCATCAGTGTGTAATCATAACTTTAATAATATATACTTAGACGTGCATGCTTGTGTTTGTTCTCGTGCGTATGGAAATCTATGTATGTGTGACTGTACATGCATGTGGTTTCTGATGTGTGTGCCGGGAGGGCCAAGAAACAGAGACATCCAGTAGCAACAAGTGCATCTCTAGCCCCGACTGCAACCTCTGTCGCCATTTCCCACCAAGAGGAACTGGGGCTCCTTGGAAGAATAGCCAGCATCTCATTATGGCAGAAAGTAAAGAATGCTTATGGGGCATGTCACAGGAGCCAACTCAAAGGGGCTTCCACAATTCCCAGTGTGAGCACAAAAAATAGTTGTCCCTTGGTATATCTTGTTCAGGATCCTCGAGGATACTAAAACCCTTGGGTGCTCAGTTTTCTTGTATAGGTTGGTGTACTAGTGTTTATAACCTGTGCAGTCCTCCTATATACTTTAAACCAAATGCAATATAATGCTGTTTAAGTAGCTGTTATGCTGTGTTGCTCAGGAAATCATGACAAGAAAGGAAAGTCTGAACATGTTCAGTACAGATGCAGTTTTTTAAAGAATATTTTTCAATCTGTGAATTTAGATCCTATAGATACCTGGGGGCAAATATAATTAGGTACACTAATTAATTTTAAACCGCTCAAGAACAACACTAACATATGTCCTTGTCAACAATAAATAGATGTACTAGTGAATTAGGAAGACTGATTGGTATAGAACAAGAGCTAGAGTTGGAGAAACAACAGTTTGCAAGCATCCTAGTAAGGATCAAGCTCCTTGATGAATACCAAATGCGAAGAGAATTTTTTTATAAGAATCAGGATATTTGCATGGTCTTCAGGTGTTTCCCCACAAACTACCTATTAGTCACAAAGGACACTAGAAGGCAGTAATTACAAAGTAGAAAAACTGTATAATTTGTTTTTATAATTACATAATTGATCCCCCATCTTGACTGGGGGATCAACATTGTCATCAGCAGTAAAGACAGCGAATCCGTATACCTCCAGATGTGATACCCTGATAAGGATATAGGATCGCCCGTGCAGGATTCCAGCTGTTAATGCAAACCTGAGCCCCATCCTGTGGAAACATCAGGCAAATCCAAAATGATGAGCATTCTGTATTTAAGAGAGTAAAGAGTGACTTTATTCTCCCAAAATATTTGTCAAAAAAAAAAAAACAAGAAAAGCTAGAAGTGTTCCAGATTAAAAGACGTTAAGGAGCTGGGGTCGTGGTTCAGTGGTAGAGTGCTTGCCTAGCATGTGTGAGGCACTGGGTTCAATTCTCACCACTTATTTATTTATATAAGTAAATGAACAAAATAAAGGCCCATCAACCTCTAAAAGACATGACAAGCTATATATAATATCTGACAGTAGATATGATCCTGTACTGGACAGGGGGAAAATTATTATAAATGATATTATTGAGAGAACAATTCTGGAATAAGAATGGTAGATTAAAGTTTCATATCAATGTTAAATTCACTGACTTTGCTGAGGATTGTGTGGAACTGTCTTGCCTGGGAAATACATACTTAAGTACTTCAGAGTAAAGGACTGTGATGCAATAGTTGAGAAAGACATTATGTACATATGAAGATATCTGTCTTCTCTCCATCTGGCTGTATCTGAAGCAACTCTGTGTCAGAATACATAAGGGGTGTGTGTGTGTGTGTGTGTGTGTGTGTGTGTGGACAGTGGGGAGGGAGAGTACTAACAATAAAGCAGATGTAGCAGATTGTCAATGTAGGTTAGTCTGGGTGATGGGTATACGGTTGCTCTTTGTTATCTTTTTCAGACTTCTCTATAAATTTAAAATTATTTTCAGAGTTAAATGTTTAAAAAGAACGACCTGTGAAATTTAAAATAGTGGACCAGATAGATTATTTAATGGGTATTTGAAAAGCATTTGAGACAAAGTTTTAACATTCTAGAGGCGGTGAAACCCAGCAATCCTTAAATAGGAATTGATAGATATTTCCTTAATATGATTAAAAGGGGAAAAAATAAAAACTAAATACATTTAAGGATGAAATGCTAGAAATTAGGTTCATAACATACACAGATAACTTTGTATGGTCTGTAAACCCCTGTAATTTATGTATAAACACATTCTGCATTTGGAATGGAAGGACTTACTTTTCATTAAATTCTAAGGTGACTATTTCCCCAAAGTAGTAAAAAGCCAGTGTACAATTGCCTTTCAGAATATTAGGAAGAAAATAAGGATTCTGGGAATGCCATTTCTTAAAATTGTTCCAGATGCTCTGAGTAGTGTGCTTACAATTTCAGATGATGGAAGCTTAAGCCAAGATTATCATGATTTGCAGATGATATGAGTGATTTAGATAACACTCGTGAGATACATTCTTGAAATGAAACTGGTAGGCCAAAAGCTCTTGATGTATTTTATCAGAAAGCTTAATATTAATTCACAGCCCTGCCAGAAGCACACTAGCCTTCTCCCTCACCTGTGCCCACACTGTGGGTGAGCACTGTTCACCTGGAAGCCCCTGGAGAACCTTGTTGTTGTTGTTGTTGTGGTTGTTAGTCTCCCTTCATCTGGCAATAGCCCGTTAAAAAATATAAGGGAGGGGAAAGTCCCAGTCCTATAGCAACAGAAAACATAAATTTCTTGGAAATAATCGGAACTGTAGCAAGATTATATAAAGCTACTAAAACTGGACTGAGAGAGAAAGAAAATTTGAATTAATAGGCAGTCTTTGTTCCTTAAAGGGAAGGCTTAATATTGTGAAAGCATTTTAGGATATTTGCTCTTTCTAACTTAATTGTAGTTTAAAGCAAAAAGTTAAACTACAATGTGATGTTTTCTGAGATTTGAGTAATATATTCTGAGTATTACCTGGATGAATAAACAAAAGAGAGTATCTAAAAGATTTAATGGAAAAGAAAAAACTGTTGACATTAGGGTTAATAAAATGTTACAAAACAACAAGTAAATCAAAAACAAAACAGGAGAATAAACTCAGACTGCATAAAAATTTAAGGTTGTTAAGAAGCATAGCAAATCAGGAGAGTCTTTTAATAGTCCTCAATAACACAGTCAGCTGTTGTGAAGTGGGGAGGATCCTGGCCTCATATCATATAAGTGAATGGATTTTTGAACATTTTTTTCAAAGGCAAACAATTAAAAAGCTAGAGTGAAATATATTTGATCAGAGATGTAAAAAAAAATTCTGAGCATAAAAAAGTAACAAAAAGAGACTTAAAAGGATTTCAGACTTCTTTAGGTTAAAATATATCATGAACCAAATTAAAAGACAAAGAACAGGGAAATAATAAACAAATTATTTACATCCTATCTCTATATGCACAGCTCATAAAAAAAATAATCAGAAAGCCAGAACCACAGTAGGATAAGGGAGGAACACGAACAGTGAGTTCGGGATAGAAACCCAGATGGCGAATGGACTTGGAGAGTGTATCCAGCCTTACACACAGATTAAGACAGCTATGTTATTTTTCAGCTATACATGAGAAAAATTTTGCTTTTGTTTAAGCTCATATTCAGTTCTGCCTGGGTCAAATGAGGAAGGCACTTACACACTGCTGGTGAGGGTGTCAATTGATCCGAGCATTCTGGAAAGCCATTTGGCAAAGTGAGTCAAAGCCTTCGATCTAGTGCTTTAACTTCCAGGAATCTCTCCTAAGGATATTATTAAAAATTGTCCAGAGACATTTATCATGGCATTGTTATAACAGCAGAAAATCAGCATCAACACAATGGTCTGATAATGGGAGAACTGTAAAATAAATGGTTAGATCCATATAGTCATGGAGGCATTTTAAATGTTTACAAAGAAAGCTTAATGATGCCCTAAACTGAATATGGTGTTTCAGACTATTAACAATTATTTCCTCTGTGTTGCTAAGGGAGTGGCATTTTTTGCTTCTTTATATTTTTTGTTTACTTTCTAAATTTTATATGGTTAGATTTATCATTTTTCCATCAGGGATGAAAGTCTTTCTGTGAAGAAGTTTTTACTGTATCAGGTGAAAGATGGGTTTCTGCCTCAGCAGCTGTTTAATTGTTAGAGAAGTCTTCTGCCTTGGGTGCACATGTAAACACAACACTTCATATTTCAGATGGGACAGCCACATTAGCAGTGATTAAGCCATGCAGCTACCTGTAAGATGGATCATTTAAAGCCATACGGGCTGTGACTGCTGGGTGGCCTGTATAATCTCCCTTAATGGCATGGGACTTTGTCAGAGGGGCCCTTTCCCCTTTTTCCTTCTTTTAAAGACTGACTAGTGTCGATTTCCTACACTTCTAGAACTCTGGGTCGGTCTCACAGGAAGAAGTTTGCAGCAGGTGGTAGGTTAGTGAGCTATTGTTTCATAAAGTATGACATTTTTTTAGTTTAAAAATTTGTTTTACTAGACCTTGAATCTCAGTTCTCAGCAAAGCTTCTTCTACCTCTAGTTTTCTAGTTCTACTTTTCTTGGTCCCCCTTCTCTGCTTCAGTATAAATCCAAGAGACATATTATGAATGCATAGAAGATACCACAACAAAGCCCAAGTTTTATCATACAATATTTTTAGAGTAAGAATACATGTTTAGCCATGGCTAAATAAAGCATTAATTACTTATCAAAAATGAACTGTGCACAATGGCACATGCCTGTTATCCCAGTGACTTGGGAGGCTGGGACACAAAGATCACAAGTTCAAGGCTGGCTCCAGCAGCTTAACAAGGCCCAATGCCATTTAGTGAGATCTGTCTCAAAAAGGGCTGAGGATGTGTCTCAGTGATAAAGCACCTTCAGTTCAATCCCCAGTACCAAAAAATAAACATGAATTTTTATACTTTGTTATTATTTTCAAGACTTGTTCTGTTATTCCCTAGAAACCTCCTGGATGTGCTTATTGATGTAAGGATATTGTATTCACGTATGGATATTTTTTTAACTAAGAGTCTGTCAGTTGTGCAGGACTTAGAGAATATCTGCCTATGTTGCCAAAGTTGAAATCATATAAATGTGTATTTTTATGTTGAGGTTGCACAGGTGCCTTTCAGCTGTAAAACGATGGCAGTAACTAAATGGTTGTCTTCCCACAGGAGTGCATCTTTACTATGTTGGAGGGGAGGTGTATGCCGAATGCCTCAGTGACAGTAGCATCTTCGTGCAAAGTCGGAACTGCAACTACCATCATGGATTTCACCCCACGACTGTTTGCAAGATCCCTAGTGGGTGTAGCTTGAAAATTTTTAACAACCAAGAATTTGCTCAGTTGTTGGCACAGTCTGTGAACCATGGTTTCGAGACCGTCTACGAGCTCACAAAAATGTGTACTATACGCATGAGCTTTGTGAAGGTGAGTGAGCTCCAATTGCTCTAGGCTGGGCTTAATACATTTTGCTGTGCCTTGTTGAAGTGTATCAGTCTACATCCACTTGATACATTTCAGTCATAGCAGACTTACTATCTAGGGATTTTTAAACCTTAACCAGCATGTGAATTTCAAAGAAAATATTAGGACATAGGAGTGCTTGTGTAAATGTCAGTTGCAGTAGCCTTCAGTAGCCTCTTCCTTATACAAATTTAGCTACTTTTATGATAGTAACACTTGTTACTTTTGGTTCATGGTAAGTGCGTGATCTTTTTGTAAAAATAAAAGTTCATCACACTGGATTTTTCTTTTCTTTCTTTCTTTTTTTTTTTTTTTTTTTTTTTTGTGTGTGTGTGTTGGGATTGAACCCAGGACCTTGTGCATGCAAGGCAAGCACTCTACCAGCTGAGCTATATCCTCAGCCCTGGAAATTATTTTTGACTGGTCAGGTTTTTTTGTTGTTGTTTTAGTGGTTCTAGTACATCTTGTACTTTTCATATAGTTCAAAATTTATTAAGGCCCTTGTTCCAAGATAGATACCTTATTAGCTTTAAGTGAATTAGGTGTGTATTGTATGTTTGAAGAGAAGGTTAAAGACATGCTTGTACTAACTGGTCACTCTGTGCTGCCTCATCTTGTGCCTCTGAGAAATGAAAGTTTTTAAGATGCCATTGAAATGTAAAAAAAAAAAAATGAATATCTGATTATATTTAGTGAGTCAGTGACTTATTCTAGAAACTGACTGGCTTGTCTCTGATTTCTCAAAGATAAATTTTCATCCTGTATCACTCTGAGAAACACAACTAATTACAGACTTGGGTGAGGCCATCACCCTCTATGTCGTTTCTTCGGAAGCTCACCTAGCTAGTTATCAAACCGGTTTTGTAATGTATTTATTACTGAGGATAATTTTGGAACCTAATTTTGTTCATCATTCTTTAGATCAAATGTATTTTTTTCCCAAATATCATTTTTTTCCTGTTTTGAGTTCTCTTAGCAGATTTTTGGTATGTTTTCTTACTGCTGCTTTTCTCAAAATGTAGTTCAGTGGTTCTTTGCAACGGAGCCCGGTACCTCTTTCATATTAAAAGAGGGTTTTGTTTTGTTTTGTTTTACCCCTTTCAGAGTTTGACCTATTATCCATGTACATATGAGACTACAAAGACCATTTTCATTCATTTTTAATTCACTATTTAATTTTTGACTTAGCATTTTGACTCAGGTGATTTTTAAAATAAGGACGTGACTTGCCTAAAGCATTTTTTTGTTTGTTTCTTTTTATTGGTTTGGAGGAAAGAACAACCTGAAGAGATACAGGTTCTTCTTCTTCTAGTTGTCTTTGCCTTTTTTGTTTTAATTTTGGACAGGGTCTTGCTAAGTTGTCAAGACTGACCCTAAACTTGTGATCCTCCTACCTCAGGCTTCCAAGTTGCTCGGCTCACAGGTGTGTGCCACCTCACCTGGCCTCTAGTTGCTATTTTAACTGTGTGACTAAGGCGCAGGGACTCCTTTGAGGGCCTCATGTTCCTCATCTGTAAAATGGGGGTGGGTGGGGCTGGGACTGTGGTGATCATTCTGTGATCCCTTGTGAGTTCATTACTACTGAAGGCCACTCTGGAAGGATTTATGGCTCTAACACTCCAATTAGTTGCCTCTTCTGATTCATTTCTTATTAATTACCCAATCATTTTAACTATTTCACTTTTATAGTTTCTTTTTTTTTACCATGAATAAACTTTTAAATTTTATTTTTTTTAATTTTTTTGTTTTAATTAGTTACACATGACAGTACAATGACCTTGACATATCATACATTTGAATCAGATGGGATATAATTTCTCATTTTTCTGAGTGTACAGGTTGCAGAATCACATTGGTCATGCAGTCACGTGATGGGAGGGAGGGGAGGGGAAGGGGGGAAAGGAAGGATAGCAGAATAAAATAGACATTATTATTGCTGTGTATATATCCATGACCGCACTTTTATAGTTTCAATAATGTACTTTTACACAAGAAAAAAACTTTTACACTAATAGAAGGTATTTATATCCGATTTCATTCTTTCAGCCAGAATTTTAGCAGTATTCCAGAGAAGGAATACAAAGATGAAAACAACCTACAATCTCTAGCTTTAGGATGCTTGTGGTCTCACACATGTAATTAATACAACATACGATGAGCACTAGCATGAAGGGGCTGACACCGTGTAATGGATATAGCTGGGAAGCTGGATTTAGAGAGTTGAGGATAAACGAATCTTACTAAAAACTCTTGCTGAGTTTTTTTTTTTGTAAGGGATTCTCATATATTAGCAACAAAAACATTGCAGATTGTTTTTACAGCATTGTTCTTCATTATCACAATGACTGGACACTTCACCCTCTGCCACTCAGCATCTTGGAGAAATGCTGAGGAACATTAATATAACCAACATTAATAACCAATCTTGCACCATTTTTGCCGTTTTAGGATGGTAATATAAAGCATATATTTCATAAATTATTTGCATCTTAAACTCCCCCATAGCTGAAAAATCCAGATCTGTTCAGCTGAACAAGTGTATATAGAGCTTCTGCTTTGTGCCAGTGACTGTGCTGGATGTTGTCCCTGCCTTCTCAGAACCTGCTGTCTGATGGAGGTAAACCGACACATTCCATTTAGCAATATATTAATGGAGGTTCAAGTTCATGTGTCTACGTACTGTGTGCAGATAGAGTTCACATGTCACCACTGTCTCCTGAAAGTCTTCACACTCAGATGTACTTCTTGAAACTGCTAGAGTAGATAGGTAGCAGAGAGAGCGTGCCAGCCTTCTGTGGTACACCTCAGGGAACAGGGATCAACCAGAACTTCATGTTCTGCTATCCACTCTTGCCAACAAGTTTTTGAGCTCTGAAGTGGCAGTATTACTCTGCTCTTTATCTTCTATGGAACTTTAGGGTCCTGATTCAGTAATTTTGAAGATGTCTGCCAAGCTGCCTTCTTATACAAATGAATAATTAAATGCTGACTTCAGGCAGTGGCTAGGTATCAGTCATAACTTTGGGGATACTTACATGCACTCCTGCCAGTTTTGCTTAGAGATCGAAAGATCAAGAGGTCCGTGTTGATAGGCAGACCTTAGGTGGCTGAACAGGGAAGAAAGGGTATCAATGTCCAAAGAAGCCTTTTCCTTATTTTATTGATGATAAAGTGAGAATTTAATAATAGCTATTACCTTACTATCAGAAGGGAATGGGAAATGAATATGAAAGTTAAAAAGTATGTGGGCCAATAATTCTTGTTGTTTTGTTTTGTTTTTTAATATTTTTTAGTTGTCAGTGGACCCTTATTTTATTTATTTATATGTGGTGCTGGGAATCAAAACCAGTGCCTCACTGTTAGGCAAGTGCTCTACCACTGAGCCCCAGCTCCAGCCCCAGCCCCAGCCCCAAGACCAGTAATTCTTTAACCTGGAGTCCATGGATGGACTCCAGTGGCCAGCACCATTTCCCGCAGTTTGCCTGCCAGATTGCGTGTATGTGCGCACTCTTCTGGGAACTGTCTGTCGCTTCAGTCAGAGTCCCTGATTAGGTGAACTCCTTTTACTTAATAAGTTGAACACTGCATTAAACAAGTTAAATGACCCTGCTTTGTTTTTTCCAGGGCTGGGGAGCAGAATACCACCGCCAGGATGTTACTAGCACCCCCTGCTGGATTGAGATACATCTGCACGGTCCCCTCCAGTGGCTGGATAAAGTTCTCACCCAGATGGGTTCACCTCATAATCCTATTTCATCAGTGTCTTAAATGGCCTCAGGCTTCTGCCTCTTGAAAACTATTGAGCCTTGCATGTACTTGAAGGATGGATGAGTCAGACCCAATGGAGAGCTGACAAAGGAGCCTTGATAATACTTGACCTCTGTGACCAACTGTTGGATTCAGAAATTTGAAAACCCTTGGTAACATACTATTGATATCAAGAACCTGTCTAGTTTACATTGTAACATTCTCTTGTAAAATCAACTAAAATGCAGACTTTTAGCAGGACTCTGTGTATAGTTAAAGAAGAGATGGCCAAGCCAGGGACAAATTATCTATTAGAAAAAATGGTCCTAAGAGATTCTTTTGTGTTTGGCACTTTAGGGTCATCGTTTGGCAGAAGTTTAGCATTAATGGTTAGTCTTTCTGAAGTGTGTTTTTATCAGGTTTAGAGCCCATGTTGAATCTTCTTTTCATGGGTTTTCATAATTTTTAAAACTATTTGTTTAGTAATGGTTTTTGTTTGTTTTTAAGTAAAGATTAATCTTTATGATATACATAGTAATCTTTCTAAAATTGTATGCTGACCATACTGCTGTCAGAATAATGTTAGGCATATGCTCTTTGCTAAATATGTATGTACAGAATATTTGAAAGTTAAGAATTGATTAGACTAGTGAATTTAGGAGTATTTGAGGGGGTGGGGGGAGGGGGGAAATGACAATTGCAAATGTAGAATATACTGTAAAAATTCAGTTTGTCGCCTTAAAGAAACGAACTGATGTCTGAATTTTGCTGTGTTTCAATTTTTTAGAGATTTTTATCTTCTTTTTTTTTTTTTCTTTCTTCTCTCCATCCTTTCCCAAAAAAGCAGTTATGCAGCTGGTTAATTCATATAACTGTGAGAGCAAATGAATAATTCCTGCTATTCTGAAATCGACTGCCTATGTATTTCAATACCAATTGTATGGAGTGCTTGAATTTATTAAGCAGTTTTTATGGAGTTTACAGTACAGAAACAGGCTTTAATTTTCAAATGAATTATTTGCCAAACCTAGTAACTGTTAAATATTTGGAGGATTTAAAGAACATCCCTGTTTAAATCCATTTCAAACTTTTTTAATTTTTTTGTACTACGTTTGGTTTTATTTTCTTCTGTTATCTTTTATATTCACTTATGCTCTCGTACATTGAGTACTTTTATTCCAAAACTAGTGGGTTTTCTCTACTGGAAATTTTAAATAAACCTGTCATTATTGCTTACTTTGGTTAAAAATTGGTGAATTTCATTCTTTACATATCAGATTTTAGGGTAAGATTTGTTTTTCTTTTGAAAGTTTTTTTCCTCAGATATCCTCTGCCAAATAAAACAGGTGAACCAAATAACTAATAAAGAGGAATCGGGTAGAGAGCAAGGTCCCTTTAAGTCAGAAAAGAAAGGACAGGTAGAACTCAAAAATTTGAGGAAAACCTAGCAGAATCTAAGTGTACACATCCTTCAATGTGCAGAAATACAGCACCAACAATTATTGGTTGGTGCCGTTCAGTCACCTGAAAGAACCAGTTTCCAACTCAGATGAAACTAAGGGTGACTGGAGGGTGTTATTGGGGGGGCGGCGGGTGGTGCTGAGAACTCAGCGCAACAAGAGAAATTGCTTTTGCAGTTCTCTTGGGTTTGGGTATGATTCCAAACCCCTCCCAAAGGAAAAAAAGAGAATGATTTTGTCCATAAGGGACCCAAATTTTGAGGACTTTTACATACTTTCCTGACCAAATAGATGCCACTCTTTCTCCTTCACATTTTATTTCTTTCCTGGAGGTGTACCAGACCTAAAATTTTAAGATTCTTTCTCTTCCCATTTTAAACCCAGCTTAAAAGAAAAAAAATGCTGACCCCCTCCCCACCACCAGAAAGCAATATCCCTACACTATGATCAAGAAAAAAATTCCCACTTCTTATTGTCGTCTGCCAAATCACCAGATTACAAGTAGAGAAAGCCCTGGCTAGAAGACATATGTTATAACAAATTCATGCCCATCTTTGCTGATCCAACTTCTGTGAACCTGTTTTCTCATTTGTTAAGCAGAGATAATGTAGTTATGTTCTTATCATAAAATTGAGATGAGGATCATTCAGATAAAAATATGTATGAAAATATCTTAGAAATATAACTGCCAAGCCGGGCATGGTGGCACACACCTGTAATTCCAGCATCTTGAGAGGCTGAGGCAGGAGGATCAAAAGTTCAAGGCCAGCCTGGGCAACTTAATGAGATCCTGTTTCAAAACTTAAAAAGGACTGGGGATGTAGCTCAGCAATAGAGCACCACTGGTTTCAATCCTGGCACCAAAATTAAAAAAAAAAAAAAAAAAATGGAAGGCCTTAAAACTACAGCCTCACTCTGTTATTTAATAGAATTTGATATCCAGCAAGTTTCTTTCTGCACCTGTTTTCTTGTCTGTAAAATGGAAGCAAAAAGCCTATTTAATGGAGTTATCATAAAGATTAAATCCATCCATGCAGAGCACTTAGAACCCCTCAGTAAATGATTGTACGGCTCATTAAATCGGGGAAATCCTGACCCCAGGAGCTTACGAAAGGAAGGAAGAAAACAGGCGATTGCAGGGTGCCCACTGTGCTGCAGGCCCTGAGCGACGGGTTTCTAAGCACTGTCTCGCACCCTCACAAGAATACGAGATACTACGCTCATGTCAACAACACCTCTGTCCTGCTGCCAAGCAACCTGCACTCTGATGAGGAAGGCAGGCAAGAGAATGATGTTCCAGTGCCATGATAGGGCCACTGAGGGTGCATAACCCAGATGGGAAGAGCAACTCGCCAGGGCTAACTGGGTATTGTGCAGGAGAAATGTCTACCAGGCAGAAAAGGAAAAGGCCCAACCAGGAGACTTGGACGCAGTTGGGTAATTCAGTGTAGCTGGAGGCGCAGGGCAGTTGGGAAGGAGCCTGGTCGTTAGGGATCTTGTGTAGGTTATACTAAGGGTTGGGATTTTTTATTTTCCCCTGTGATTTTAGCTCCTAGATGGTAGAGACTAAACCGACCAGGGCCCAGGAGAGGACCTCTAGTGAAGCTGTCACATAAAAGGCAGGAAGGATCTGACAGCAGGAAAGAGTCGTGGTAGACGCCAAGGCAAGAGTTAGTTGCAACAGGAAGGTTTGATCAGCAACACGACCAGCACAAGAGAGAAGAATAAATTTAGGAAAGTTTTTTAACTGAATAACTAGGAAGTTTTTAAGGACTGTTAAAATTTTTGAGGGGTGGTTCACAAAGGCAAATAACAAGGGGTTGAAAGTATGACTAAAAGAAATGGAAGCAGAGTACTTTGATCTAGAAGTTTATTGGTGAGAAGAAGATGGAGGATACTCTGTGTAGCTGGAGAGATGTGTGGAGGGGAAGGAAGGTCGTGTTAGAACCAGGAGCTGTGAACACCCCTGTACCCACTGGTAACAAGCTGAAGCACCGTCAAGCATCTGTGAGTGCAGCTAAGCTCAGGTGATGGGCCTTGAAGTGGATCCAGTCCCCAGAGTTCTGTAGGCTGGAATTGGGGATCAGAGAAGAAGAAAATGTGTTCAAGTCCCTAGGGCTGAGGACTGACAATGTAGTCCTGGGGAACACTAATGCCCGTCATTGCAATGGTGACCCATTGGTCTAGGCTAAGAATCAAAGTAGGGACACCAAGGCAGAAGGGAGAGCAAAGGGCACATTCACTGTGAACAGCCACAGCCTTCCACTGGGAAATCTGAGATTGCAGAAACCTCAAAGGTGATCAGTTGTAAACCAAACCTTCACCAGGGGTGCTGGTTATGGAGCAGAGTTGTAAAAGTCACTGGAGGAGAGAAAACTCAAGGAACCAAGAGGGTGGCTGGGAGTAGAGTGTTGATTTTCATTAGTGCACCACTAGATGGCGCCTAGGCACTCAGTAAAGAAGAATGAATGAATGAATGGATGAATGAATGAATGAATGAATGAAATGGTGTAGCCTCATGGACACTGAAGCCATCGAGGGTCATACAGAATCATACAGAAGACATTGCAAAGGTTACAGTAGAAGTGGGGCAAGGGAGGGACAGCACCACAGTAATGAACAGACAAAAATTAAGTCACCCCAGGATCCTGAAGAACTTGGGTCTGAAGAGGAAGCCCGGGAGAGTCAGTAACAGCCATCAATCCATCCTGAGGTCGGACAGAGGGCAATGGGAAATTCCTTCATTGATCTCCTATCATCTGTGTCTTTTAAAAATTCCCTATACCCAAGGATTTGGGAGGATTTCTGAAGAATTTCTAGTTCAGTTCACTGAGATTTTAATACTCTTAAATGAAAGGAAGTCAAGAAAGGAAACAGGTATGGGGAGGGGGGAATGAGCTGGATGAAGCTCACTAATGAAGAATTCCCAGGATAGGGCGAAGGGTGCGGCTCAGAGGTAGAGCACTCACGTGAGGTCCTGGGTTCCCGCCAGAACCTCAGAACAAAGCAAACCAAAGCCCTCCTTAGTTGCTTCCCCAGATATGACATGTCCATAGTGATACCCAGAATAAGAACACCCAGCAAGAGGGATGAGTGGAAGACAGAGCTTCCAGGACAGCAGCAGGAGAGACATGGAGACAGCAGACGAGGCCTTTCCAGTTTAGCAGCTCTGGGATCAGGGACAGACCCCTGCTCCTCCAAATCTCACTGGGTCTCTAGCAGCTGTTGAAAAAACATAGATGTCTGAAAAGCTAGTTGCCCATCGCCAGCTCCAGGGACCACGGCCTTGGAATATTTGGTATTTCTTGGGAGGTATAATACCAGTAGAGTCCCTTAGAACCATAGGTATTTCTTAAAACACTATGTTTTATTTATTGCCTGCATTTTCTTCTACTAGCAGGACTTAGTAAACAAATGGTCAAGTGCCTTACAAATGTACCACATTCAGGTCACATTACCATGCCCTGTCACTGGACACTGAAGAAGGACTGCTCACCACAAGGTGAATTGGCTTCTTTCTTTCATAATCATCTGTTTCTTCTGGGATAGTTGGATTGTATGAACTATGGGCGGTTTTCTACAAAGGTCACTATTTTACTTTGTCTTATAAGTGTGTACCAGGTACAGTTTTGTAACTCTTAAGTGGCTTTGAAGGCCGCAGTTGCCTGAAGGAAACCTGTGGCCTACAGTCTCCAAGCCCTGGAA